ATAGGAATTCAAAGTCCAGTATAAAACAATACAACTGCAAATGAGAACAAAACGTAAACATTTAATCACAATTAAAGTTAAAACTAGAGGAAACAAACTTTTCACAATTCATATATACAAGTAATATTGAGATTGAGAGGCAGTACGTTTAGTCCAAATACACCTGAAGGTCTTCCATAACTTCACTGTGTTGATACCCTCACAACTGGTTTACGGAGCTGTATGCAGGAATCAGGTGGACCATGATGTGGTCACAAAACGCTCTGTTATGATTGCATTATTTGTGTGTATACTACTTTTATTTACCCGGTAGGTTACCTGGTAGGTTGAGCAAATTCAACCGCCACTTTTCAAAATGGGTGTTAATTTCCAACCCTGGTGCTAACCTATTGTCAGTGGGAACGTTGGTTCTTCTTCTACTCATCCCGGGTCGCAGCACTGCTGAATAATCAGGAAACCAAGAAAGAGCAGTGTTCTGTCTTAACCCTGACTTCAAAAATAATGTTTTTAATATATGAATTGTGGAGAATAATTAATGTGAGTTTTTTCCCCAGCACTATTTTTTAGGAGCCAGAAATCTCAAGTTTCCTAAGCCCCACTTACTGTTGCTTTCTCAAGCTTTCCATTCTCGCATGGCACATACGCTTTAGTTTACAATGATAACAGGAGGAGGAACATTTACTTCTCGAAAATTGTTTTTGAAACAGAGGGTCCCGTGATTACCGACTGTGGCAGACAAAAGATGGCTCTTCATTTAAAGCCGGAGACTGCCAATTATGCTGGCTGAATTAGCTAGCTAGTTTATTAGGCTAATGTTAACAACAGCGTTCGTAGAAAAGGCTTTTTAATGTTTGTGGCTGATATGTTTTAAAATGAGAACCCATTCAACCCTAAACTGTGATAGCATCCAGGACTGGCTTCCATAAAGTGGGGAACTATTACACGGTGAATATGCTACTCGTGTAACCTAACCTGCAACCCCACCCCAAAAAAAAATACTGCAGTTAGTAAATGATCTGCTCCTTGGCCCTGGTCCTGCTTGGTTTCTACTGTAGATATTAACGTTAGGGTAGTTAGCCAGGCATGCTAACGTTTGCAGCTTACGGTGTGTTGTTTTGATGTTGTTTGCTCTTGCTTTTCTCTGTTTCCACATCATTGTAAATTGAATACCTTGGGTTTTGGACAGTTGCCCAGACAAAACAAGCAAACTAACCAAGCATGCAAGCTGACCAATATATCAAGGTCCCTGAGTTGCAACGTACACACTAAAAGCATGACCTTCGTGATCCACCACTAATTTGTGCCATTAAGGCAAAACTGCTCCTGAGCTTGTCTTATTAGACAATAATCATTTGTGAGCCTCTGGGGAGCCTGGTGCTGTCTCTAGGTCTCTGAATACTGTGGCCAAAGTGTTAGAGAAGTTAAAAGACATACAAACTTGAAATATCTGTCAATGTAACATTGACTTTATGACCAAGGGGTTCAAGTATAATCTTGCCAATATATCTTACCACAAGAATGCTTTGGCAGCAGCCCAGAAGGCAGTTTACCCCCTACCTGTGAAAAAGGAACAAGCTCTGAATACAGAGCGGCCGCACAGCCTTTAACAGGACTCAGAAACAAGCACCGCCATTAATCATTTTCACTGATTCTCTAGCAGGCAGCGATTTGTCCATTCAGTAATTCAGATATGAAATGGAGGGGGAAAGGCGGTAGGGTAATGTGGCGAGGTAAAGGCGGAATCAGCGTTTCACACTCCCATATAGGTGAACAGGAGTTGGCACAAGCCTTGTACTGCGCTGGCATGCTAAAATATTAACGTCTGGGGCTATGAATATTCATGCCCAGTTGTCCCCATCACCAGATTGTGGAGGACAAAGCAGTGACCCTAGACTGTAATCCGATTCTACATGTTCCTGCATCATTTCCAAGGACAGGGGCTCCCGGCGGAGAGGGCGGCTGCTTGGTTGGAGGTGAAGCTGTAGCCGCAACATGTTTCAACCAACAGGAGGAAAGCACTGGACTGCTGGGTCATGACAAGTGAATGTGACCCCAAGTCATTACTGTCTGTGTTGGGTTGTATCAGTTTCTTCACCGGCCCCGACGCCTCATCAGTACACACACACACACACACACAGCTGTAAGAGTGACATTAGCTGCTCCCCTAACAGGAGTTGTATGAAAGATATTCAACACATCTGTTATCTGCAAAAGCTATTGTGTAAAATAACTGGGATTATTTTCTGCTGCAAAAAGGAGGACCTAATGTATACATGCAAGTAGTGGGGGGAGGGTAGTTTTCCAGAGCAACCGGAGCACGCACACACACACACCCTAGATTTGCGTGTCTGTTTTCAAAAGGTAACCAAGCAACCAGTTCCTGGTGCCTTTGCTTGTAGCCTTATCAGGTAACTGCGTTCTGCACATGCTCACAGGTTCCCCTGGTTTCTGTTTATACTACGTCAGTGGTTTCACTCTTGACCCAAACAAATGGGAGAGCATGGGTGTGGAGAGAGCACCAGGTCCTGCAGCACTGCAGCAGGTGAAGATAACTTTTCAGGTCCTATGCAAGGACTCAAACATGAACACGAGTGTATACTGCTAAATGGAAATTAAGAGGTGTCAGAGACTTATGACTGACAACCACGTACTGTTTCTTGGACAAGTTCTTTGATGATAGAAACGGATTACTGTGAGCATATTATCTTATTTCTAAGACTGCTCCAAACTTTTTTTTTTTATTCAAATAAACTTGTTGAAAATATTCTAAGCAGACCTACAGTCATTTATCAACCTTTGCATGGAGCAGTCTTGAGAGTATGTGTGTGTGTGTGTGTGTGTGTGTGTGTGTAACAACATCAGATGTCATTGTTAAGAGTAACAGCCAGCCCACAGCAGTTGGTCTCTGATAACACTGTCATATCAAAAAAAAAATTTTAATAATAATAATCATTACAAGGAATTGAAATGGGGACATTTTGTGAAGCATTTTCACAACTACACTGTGTAAAATTGCTCAGCACGAGGGTTTAATTAATTTGACTTTTAACAAAAAGACTTTCATCAAGTAAAATTTTACTTTAATCCTTATTTCAAGCATTAAAGACTGTGTGTACTGGGACAACAATCAGTTAACTTACAGCCTTTATTGACACAAAACAAATATTAGATTGTTTATGCAATGATGACACCTCACGTGATTTCATGATAACTTCTCAACAATCTCCTGATAGCCTGACACAAGCACAAGGTTGTCTGCACTTTCACAGAGTCTCAATCCTCAACATTTACCGCAATTTCAAGGACTGCAGATCTCCCTCTCCCAATTTTATTTCTTTTGTCAACACTTTATGTTCCATGCTGTGCCTCGTGGACAAATGCAGCAAAGAAATGGAGCAGAAAGACCCTACTTGTTATTTTGCCATTTAAGAGAGGTTAGCACATTATTGTGTATTTCTAAACCACGTTCAAAGAATGGTACAGGTCTGGCAGAGACTGTTCTTGTCTGCTGAAGTGGAACAGTGCCCAAATGACGAGGCCATGATGCCATTAAGATGGTAATGAGCCCAAACTAGTGGCCACAACAACGTGTCATGAGACAAAAGAAGGCTAAACAACACACTATGTAAACCTTATATGACAGTGTCCCAGCTTTTACATGGAGAGACTTGATGGATGATCCTAAACAAAGCACTTCTTCATTCGGTCTCTCACTAATCAGCATACTGGAATGTCATTACCCTGACCATGGCTCTGTGGCTTCCCATCAAAATCTCAGAAATTATTTCAATAACTGCCACAGTATGTCAATGATTGAAGCCAAAAGACGATCCTGTAGCAGAAGTTTCACATTATTGTTAGTAGTGGGAGGAGTGATCTGCAAGTTTCAGTCTAAATTCCAAAGCATTAAACAGCCACCACGCCCACACAAATACAATGAAATAATAGTAAAACCAAAATAAAAATGGGATTTTTAACAAGCCCTATTCTTAAACATATCACAAATGAAGATATATACACATTTGCAAAAAGCTTGCTATAGCTGCCTAATGCATTACTGACTGATCAAAAAAGAAAAGTGGTGCCAAAACTGGAGTTAAATTACATTTCTTGACTCCATGTCCCTTAAGGAGGTCCCAGCCAGCCAAATGAAGAATATCTCAATTTCACCTTTAAATCGTTGACTATGAGAAACGTTTAAAAAAACCTAAGTTATTCTGATCAAAGGTTTCACAGCCGCTCAATCATCTACAACAAACACCCTCTTAGGTGAGGGTCAGCAGGACTAAACTAAATGGCAAACAGAAAAGGCAGCACTTTGAAGTCCTGTAGCCACAGGTTTAACATCGACCTATTGTGTTAACCACCATACACCACACAGAAATACCCACAGGAGACGTCGCAACAAATCATCCCATTTCTGTGGGATATACATTTCAATAACCATTCATTCAGAGTCTAAAAATTCAAGACAGTCGCCTATTGGTATGATTTACATGTTGTTAAATGTAAACCAACCCCACTGTCCCCTTATTACTGGGGTTACTGGATGGAATGACGTTAGCAAACTTTGATTTATTGTCTTTTGGCCTTTCCTTTCCCTTTCTGTCATGTGTCTGAAAAAAAACCCACATTAGTAAATAGTTATTATTTTACAAATAACCTACTTGTAGCTATGTAAATGAATATTCGGTTTAGCTGCCCGGTCGCTTGTTCTGGTGTGCGACCTGACTGAACTGACCTTAGGTCGAAGTTAGTCCCAGATGTGGTTTGGTCAGCCACTTGGCAAATTAAATGTTAATCACTCTAACTTTAGATAATGAAAACATAACATAAAGTTATCAGCATTTTTAACTTGTCGGGAAAAGGCACGTTTCCATGTTAACGCCAGAGGCTAACGTCATAGCACACGGCTGACCAGAGACGGTGGCCGCTACCGTCTGAGTGGAAAACCCATTAGAACCAAAGTAGCTCAGCGGCAGCTGGTGTCTAAAACTTACCAGCAAAGAGGCTCAGCAGTACACAGCAGAACCGGGCTGTCGAATGATCCATTCCTGTTCCAGTTATTCCACGACTTCTTCAGTGAAACTTGGTCGGAGAACTTATGCTGAATTCGAGAGAAAAGCGGCTGCCCAGCTCGACCGAAGCATCCAAACTTCACTCCTCCTCCTCCTCCGCCTCTCTGCAGGTGCACAGCGGAGCGCGCCGCAGGGTGTCACGTGACAGACGGCTTTCCCAAACAAGAGCCAGTATTGCCATCTGTCGGTTTGAACAAGGACTTCCCCCGGTGTTTATTGATGGAATAAAAGTGCCAGTTTTGTCCCGCATGGTACCCCATGTGCGTCTGGTCCAGGTTGAGAAAGCAAACAATTTGTGTAACTTCCTGAGTGCCCTTCCCTACCACCACCAGTAGAAACAGCGCAGTCACATGTCCCTCAAGATACGAGAAACCAGGCATCTAATCATGGCTTATTTTGTGTTCTATTTTCAAGAGCATGAGGGAAGACGTGGTGCCATATTTCAAAATGGTTCAATTATTTTCATCATGTACTTTTGATTTAACCAATTAGTTTGAAAATCAGTGGCAAGTGTCTATTTCCAAAACCGTGCACATATGTCCATTATTTAGTGAAGCTTGTGGTGGACTGATGGGACATTTAAATGAACGTGCAATACTGTTAGACAAGCGAAAACACCTTCGAGGGCTGTGGCCCAGACAAACAGGGATTGGTGGTTAATTTGGCAGCATTGTCAGTCAAACATAGTTCATCTTGACCATATATGTCGGAATACAAATGATGGCTCCCCACTTATGTTAAATAAAAAAATATTTAAGCACTCTGGATGATAAAGCACCTTCCTAGCGTAGCAGTTACAATATTTCAAGGATTTCTTTAGCCGTTAGTCATGACATATATCGTAATAATGTGTCCTTGAGCGGAACACTGACTCCCCCCAAAGGGACAATCTATAGATGACACTAAAGCTCCAATTTGTCTGGAGGGGTGCCATCCACAGAACGTTTCACAGTATTAGTGAACTAATGAGTACATTTTAGGCTTCTATGAACACTTCACTGCCTAGCCACTGTGAGGCAGGGCCCCCAAAATGATCATGCTTAGGGCGCCCAGATGAAAAAAGCTGGCCCTGTCTCCACTTACCATGAACATAGTTCAACACTTTTTTTGATAAGATTTCTACCACACAAAACAATGGATGTGAATGAAATCCCCTTGGTGGTACTCAAACATTTAAAGAGTATACTTTCTTTAAAACATAAAATCCAGGGAGTTAGACGCACCATATAACCGCAACGTCCCCAGTCTGATTCCAGCCAGGGACCTTTGCTGCATGTCATACTTGTTTCTCCTCTCTACACTGTAAGCTAGCAAATAAAGGTAAATGCCAAATTTAAAATAATTTAAATAAAATAAAAAACACAGCAAAAAAAAAAAAAAAAAAAACACTTTAACCACAACACTTGGAGGAACCTTTAGTAAACACCAAAAGACCCAACAAAGTATCATGATGCTTGGAAATCGTGTTTAATAAAACTCTATAATTTGAGCCTATACAATGACAATTTTAAACTATGAATAAATAAAACATTTTATCACAAAGGACAATAGGTGGCATACAATGAACATCTCCCATTGTAAAAATATAGTACTTCAAGACAGCGTGTGTAGTCTTCCAATGTCAATATCTAATCCAATACAAGTGATTTAAACTATAACAAATGGTCTAAAGTGCAAAAGAGATTTTGTCAACAACAATCAATATGCAAGCTATAAAAATTCATATTAAAAAAACATTGGTCATTTATCTTAAAGTTGTTGTCCAGTGTGAACAATAAGCACCATAATTTCTAACTGTAACAATGTGCCAGGTTTTGGTTTGTGTCCCAGTATCCAGGCCCTCCTCTGTAGCCAGGGGGGACCCACAGATTATGCCTTAAGGTGTGGGGGGCTCCGCTGTGTGGCCTGAAGCTGTAGTGACTCCGTGGAAGGATGTGACATTTCCCTGGTACCTTCTTAGGATGCCACGAAGGAGCAGATGGATTCATCGCCTTAAATAGGAAACAAATCAATAGAAGCTGCCATCAACCGCAACACAAACTATCCGAGCCCATAACCCCATCAAACGTTTCAGTCCCAATTATTGGAACAAACAAATCACCAAACTTTGAAGATGACAAAAGAATGTCATCTGAACTACTTTATAGTTCACCAGTCTCTTCCAGAGGCTTGTATTAAAATAAATAAATAAATAAATAAAAGATAATTGCAATACCTGGTGAGCACAGCGGCTGCTGGGGACAGTGAGGGGGGAAGAGCGGACACTCTCTTCATCGGAGGAAGAACCCGAGTGGTAGTCTGACGTCACCCTCTCCAAAGCACTGGTTACCTTCTTTGCAACATCTTTGTCCTCCTCATTATCGTTAGAGAAACTGGCCACTGAGAAGCAAGGGTTTTGTTCTCCATATCTAATAATGGGAATGGACAGAAAACACAACAATATATAGTACAGGGCTCAAGAAGCACATAAATTTTTTCCCCCCAGAAATCTCAAATATAGCCACAGGTGGTATTCTGTCCATTTCTAAGCCAAATGGGCATCAGTGGCTGCAGATTAATTTTACTCACCCATGTGGCCTGTAAGATTTTAAACCATTACTCCATCAACAATTTACCAGTTAACTTTCCTAACTTTGTTTGTTTCAGCTATTCACGCCAAATATACTCAAAAGTCTCACCTGCAACAGACCTCCCCAGGGTCCACCCACAATGTGAGTTCAAGGGGAAGTCCCAGGTCACTGTACTGAACCCCGCTCTCCCGGCAGGCCCGAAGGAGGTCTGGATCCTGCCTGTGGAACCTGTTCACTCGGATGCACCTGCAGCGCACACAAAGGCAATTTCAGTCTCAACTCTGTCTGTACACATCAAAGTTGAGTTGGATATAAATGTTATGGAAGGTGTACAGTTCCACTTCAGGCCCTACAATGGTAGTTAGTGAAAATATCAAGAGATAGAGCAGCACCTGTATGCCTGTCCTCTGCTGGGGTTTTCAGGGTACCAGTGCCCCCTGAACTTCTCCTGCAGTGCAACAGCCAGCCTCTCAACAAACAGCTCGACCTTGTGCGATTCCAATTTCTCCCCCCTTTTCACGAGCCTCTTCAGGAAGAATACCACGGCTGCAATTTCTCTCTTCATATTTCATGTGCGTTTCATTACGATCGGACAGCCTCTGCAAGTAAATGGACTTCAGTCAGATGAGCAGCAAGTCAATCACAGCCGAGACCAAGTGCCTGTGACGCTGAAAAGTGTTATGAGCATTTCTATGGTAAGATGATGGTTGAGGAAAGTGTCACACCCTACAATTAGCTTTGTGAGGCCAGAATGAGGCGTTCACAAACATATCTTGTGACACTGACCCCAAGTGGCACCATTTTCCTTTTCGGGAATAAACCATAGAGAGGAATAAACGTCTTCGTGCCGTTGAAGAGTACTAGGCCCGCCATTATCTTCCACATTATTAAGGCCTCTCGCTTTTTTTTTTTTTTAATCCATCTGCTGTCGTCAGTTAACGGTCTGGCGATTATAATGTCCCAGAAACGCGGGCTGTGCCGCACAAGTTCCGGTTATCCACGCACCACCACACTACACAACAAGGGCTACTGTTGTAGTCAGTGTGCTAGCTAGTTAGCCTAACGCTACGAACCATGGTACTGTTCCCTAAATCGTGCCGAAATGCATTTGAAACTTACGTCTAATATCATACGAGTAACGTTAACGTTATTCCCTTAAGATAATAATACGCTTTTAGCATTAGCTTCACGGCTAACAGCCTCATGTTGCTAACTAACACAGCAACTGTCCTATAACGTAAACAACGGTCAGAAAAGTCCACACTAAATTGTGATTTATTGTGATATACATACCAATCACATTAAGACACACCTAACTAATATAGTGTGACACGAGGGTATAAACAACTTGACTTACCTTTCCTATTGGTCCCCCCAGCGTGTGGGCAAAAGATAAATGGTAAGTGAAGTTGGCCAACAGAAGAACCCTTGAGGTTCGGTTATTAACCCCGCCCTTTACAGCACAGCTCCCGCCCAAACGTCATTCTCATTTATTCTAAACAAACCAATCCAGCGCATTGATTGGTCGAGCATACGCTCGTCATTGAGTGAGTCATACCAACGATGCTCATGTGCTCATCGCGTCAGGCATGTCATATGCGGTTGCACAACATTGAATCAGTTAAGATTAAACCGTCTATTTGTAAAAGTTCATATTAATGGAATTGGCTCCAGAAAAGTCTGTCGTGGCTTAGGGAATCTGATGAAGAAATTACTTGAAAATGAATTACTTATAACAGAAACAGACAAATAGCCTAATAGGAAAGTCTGGGTCACAGGGTGTGTATGGTGAATAAATATAGCCTAGATATTATTGGGTTGTAATGAAATTTCAAATGAGGAAAGTGGCAATTCAAATTGGTAAACTAAATTCCAAAATCAAACTTGGAAAATATATTATTGGGGAATTATTAATCTGACATCAAAAGAAAATTGAGGTGTGTCTAATCAGGATTTACTTTAACAGCACTGCAAAAATTAGATAGCATATATGAAGAAAGGGCCAGAGGAGCATTTATAAGGTTAAGACATAAATGCATTGAGGTTATATGTAGAGTGTAATCTACATACAACCATATGTAGCTTAGTGATAAATATTAGTCCAAATGACAACCCATTAGAATTATATTCTTAGGTAGCCCAGTTTTATCAAAAACTATATTTACCTAATATGGAACATTCTCAGGTAAATTACAGCACAATATCAGGAAAGTTGACAAGGAATTCATGGAGACATCAGATGATGAGTTAAGCAGGTCTGGAAATAGTTGATTGTATAAGAAACCTTAAAGATGACAAATCGCCAGGTAATGACACCTTAACAGGGCAGTTTTATAAAATAGGGTGAGCTCCTTTTCTGCTTGCCATGTGTCAAGAATCATGTGAAACTGGTGAATTCCCAGAATCATTAAAACAAGGAGTAATTAATTCCAAATCCCCAAAAGACCAGTTTGTTTATCAAATAATGATGCCAAATTATCTTTGCTTAAGAAGGGCTGCACAGGATAATTGATGAAGAAACTTTTACTAGATTTAATTGATTATAGTTACCTCAACCCTAATGCTTTATTTTAATTATCAATTTCTACACAATAAAACAAACATGCCTTTATTTTTTTTTACAGCTCAGCGGAGCTATCTCATGGAAACTTAACAAAATATTTAAGATATATAGGCTATGAAAATATAATACATATAAAATAATTTCAAAATACCTAAATCAAAGTAGTATGCTATTGTTTTCAATGCTGTGGAAAATATGTATATTCACGGAACTAATATATTGAAAGAGAAGTGCTCTACCTAAAATATTAGGAGCACACTTATGTTAGTTGACCCTTCAGCTAGAAGTGTCTTACAATACATAGCATTTAGCCACTAAAATGAGATTCAAACTGGATTTTGATCATGTGTGATTTTAGTGGTGTATCAAATTTTTTTCACTGTATTTTTACATTGATGTTCTGTATTGATATAGCCACTTTAAAACAAGAAACTTAAATGATGTTGTTTGATGTAATTCTATATTTTAGTCAAGATAAGAAAATTCCATATTGATAAGAAAGAAATGGCCAGGAAACCAATTTTTCCTGCACTTTATCAATGAATTTCAAGCATCTCATATACTTTTATATAATATGCAGTATTTAACACAAACTCTGCTATTGTAAAATGTAAATTTATTTATTTCTGTCTTTTTTTGTTTCCTATTATCTATGTATCTGTTTGTACCTCTGCAAATGAATATGAGAGTATGTTTCCTGGAAATGACCATTTGTATCCACAAGGGGGCTCCCAACCTCCACCTCCCACAGTGAGCAACAGGCACAGTCTCAATTGATGTGCAGTCCATGTAAAACTCCAAGAAGTCAACAATTGGTTTGGAATCAGGTGAAATTCTGGTGAACTCAGCACTTGGCCAATTTGTGCAGTCATGTTTTGTGTTGCCTAATCAGCCATTCATAAATTAACTTACAAAAGACATGCTTAAATGTGTTAAGCTTGGTTATCCCCCACCACACACACATACACAAACACCGATAACCACTGCCTGACCAGCTTTACTTGTCACAGCAGCAGTGGCCACAATCGGGAAAATACTAACGTCTCACAGTGCGTAATAAAAAATAATTTCATTTTATTGAAATATTTTACAAAAAAAAAATACAAACTGTCACTTAAGCACAAATCACACAGCCTGTTTAAGGTCCATGAACACACACAATAAATAGAATGTAAAATATCCCACAACACAAATGCAGCCTTGTTCAACATTAGAAAACAAATGAACGAAGAGTCAAGTCTAAAGGAAGGAGGCAGAAGTGTAACAAGTATGCTTACATCTCCAGTAACTGATAATGAGACCACCAACAATGGACAACCAAAACCAGGCAGCCTGAATTTTTTGCTGAGCAGAGGCATGTTTCTACAGTATACAGAAATACACTGCATCCATAATTAAAAACACAAATTAAAAACATACAACTGAAGATTGAATAACTAAAATAAAAAAGGACCAGTAATCCAAGTCCTCTCAAGCACACTGATTACAGTTATCCAAATAAAACCAAGATAAAAGTTTAGAGCTAAAACCTTTAACTTTAGACCCTGAAAGGGGTCAAACACATTTAATCTCTTACAAAGAGAGAGCAAAAGAGATACACTGACAATGCTGAGTTTTTCTAAACATCAATCTGATCATGACCTTGTCTTTCCCCAGCTTATCATACTTGAGTAGCTGTGACCTCCTTTGAGGAAAGCTCAGACAACAAATATTCTTTGAGCTATTTTCTACATAATAAGGCTTCTGATTTATCTGTCTCTTTCTTGCATAGGGTTCCTGAATAATAAACTAACCAAAGCTGCAGGCTTCAAACTCTGACCGTTACCATCTCCTACGTCCTTCTCTGTCTCTTTTTGTTCAAAAATCAGGGACCTCCAGAGGCACAGTAGACTAAACTATCTGGTTTGTATTGCTATGGCATCAACTTAGCTCTCATGCATCAATACCGTAGAAAGGGCAACAACAGTTAACGCTGCACACGAACAAACAATGAAAAAGATAAATAAAACAAATCATAAAACATACACCGTGTGTACTTGAGAACTAATCCTTTCCACATCAAACACCTTTAGAGTAATAATCTGTGGTTCATAATTACACAAACTGAACCAAACATCGCAGGAAAATCATTAAGCCACATAGATTTTAAATCGTTTGGTATTGCATCTTCCTCCTTTTACTGACTCTAGGCAAATGCTTGGAGTTCACAGGTGAAACAGGACAAATACAGACTTTGGTTTGGCAGCTACATTTCTTTTTCAACAGTTTAACTTCTCCTCTTCCGATTGCGCTCATTCAGTGTACAGCCACACATACGACAAACAGCTCTGTACTAAATATCAAGTAAATCTCTCCAGCAATAGTGACTATAAACCCAAAAACTGAATAAAAAAGCAAAATACCTATCACTATTAACTGATAGTTATTAACTGATATTTCCACTTGCTGCTTACCAACTAGCTGTTACAAAGTTCGTGGACACTCCTATAATAGTCATCAACCCTACAAACACACACCTGCACAGCTAGTTCAGCCTTGTTAACTTTAACACTCTGATTTGTCTTTGCTTTAGGGCACTTTTGGGTGTTGTCTTGCACATGCCCATGCCATGTTCCAGATCAGACCCAATCTTCTTTCTAAAGTGTTAAAATTTTTGGTCCCAATTTTCAGTCCTTAATGCAGTGTTCAAACACTACTGCTGGCAGTGCCTAACGATAGGAGTATGATAAGACATCGTCCAGCTAATCTGCATCAAGTATTCAACCAAGCCATGTTATAATATACTGTAACTCACCACCTTCTACAGAGTCCTCAGATAACATATGGAGGAGTATTAAGCAGTGCGAAAACCCATATTTGAATATCCACGTTTAAACTTAAACTTAGAAAACATATCTACAGAAAATAAAGACAAAGAAAACTGAAATGTTTAACAGCAAACTAAACAAACATAAAATAAAACACACAGCAAACACTTATGTAAAATTATGTAGACACACTGCTTTTCAGACTGTATGAAGATAAATCTTAAAATATAATGTCCTCATCGTGTCACTGGGCCAGGAAACTCGGGAGCACCGTTCCGTCTGGTATTAACATGCATCCTGGGTACATGAGTTGGGTGGAATTCAGGTCACATGCCAGACCAGCAATTTGTTTTAAACTGCAAACCACCATTAATCCTTGCATCATCACTGCAACCACGAGAACAGAGGCTGTGTCAACCAAGCCCTGCTCTAATGCAAACGTAACAACTCAACATCACCGTAGTGTCGTAAAAGTCACTCAGTATACATGAAGGCCTTTCAGCCTCGCTGCAGTCAGCATGTTAAAGTATTTATCAGCTTCCTCCTGGCAGTGGAGACAGAAGCCATCTCACTCCACGGGGCCGCTGCTGCTGCTGGCCTTGACCCCGGCCCTGCTAATGTGCAGCCACGGCAGCTTGGCACAGTTCTTAAAGAGCTGCTCGATGGCGATGTGACGCACGTGCAGCTCCGACGCCAACGAGTCTTTTTCCTGCACGGCCACAGTCAGCTCCTCAAAGACCTCTGTGGAGGGACAGAGAGAGAAAGAGAAAATGGGCATCAGCGGTTTGATTCACACACAAGGTCAACTTATAGACAGACAAACAAACAGGATAAAGAAAATCAATAATACGGATTACTGAAGGAGCAAAGAGCAAAGACAACATGACAGAAAATGCATCTGCAGCTGAGGTCATTTAAGCAGGTTCATGGACATGGAAACATTTTCAATATAGCATGTGTGCTCCTCCCTAATAACTTATAACTAAAACTAAACTAACTAACTAAAGGAAGAGCAATACCATCACCATTTGCGTAGTGAAGTAATGAAAATATGTGGAACTGACTAAGAATGTGTAGGCCAATCAGCC